GTTTAAATCCCTTCTCAGCCATGGAAACCTGTTGGGTGGCCTTGGGCAAATCATGTTATCTCAGTGTCTGAGGAAAGCAAAGGCAAAACCTCTCCGAAAAAAACCTTGCTAAGGAAACCTAAATTATGGGGTCGCCTTAGAGTTGCTGTAAGTCAGAAATGTTGTTGTTTTATGAAGACATAAAACAACAACTGCAACAAAAGAAATGTCAGAATCATAGTCTATAAATTGAAGATCAAATTGTAGCTTAGGGGGACTAAAGTGTGTTGCCTTTAGAGGAAAGAGACACTTGTCACTTATGTCTTGCTTTTGGAAAAGGTCAGGTGTTGGCTTTGACAAATATTTTCAGTCTTAGAGCAAAGCTGCACTGACAGCGTTTGGTGAGCTTTTATTACTGGAGTATGTGGGTGTTGAAACAATGAGGCAAGTGCAGATAGGTTTATTCGCCTTGCTCATACTGAGATGAATGCTGTATGATTTATAAAGTGATGAAATAGTTTTATGATGTTATAGTACTTGAGTCATGCTTACCACTTTATCCTATAGGAGTTAGAAAACTAGATGAAAGGTGAGGCCAATTAAGGTATGTTGAGAAATCCTGCAGCAACAGTGTTCTGTTTAGCAGCATTAGATTGTACAGTACTTGAATTCTTACAGGCTACATAGTTCTAGAGCTTTCCATGATAATAGGCCTTTTCTTATAAGTTTTCATGTTTTTCATACAAAATTTCCCCAGGTAAACAAACAAACAAGCCAACCATACTGAAAGCTTCTAAGTGTTACAAGGTTGGGAATGTCAAAGCTCTTGCAATCAAAAATATATGGCATCCAGATAAATGGATAAAGCACACTAAATCCAGGCAACTTGAAATAAAGTGGGTTTTTAAAAATCAATCAGGCATAGCCAATTTTATTGCCTGAGAAAGAGAAACAAATGGTTCCCCCTTTTCCCAAGTCAAACGACAGTACTCAAGGCTAGCCAGCTTATTTGAGTACTTGCGGCAAAAATTCCACATGTACCTGGCTCCCAGAATAAAAAGTGCCATAAATTTATGTGACTTTTCACTGCCATTTTGTGTGGCACCCCAAATCCACTGCTTGAGATAGTTGACACACTTTCACTAAGAATGGTTATGATGCTGATGTCATTGAAAGAAACAGGGGAACTGTCCATATACTAAAGGCATTGAAAACCGAGATAGGTGTTCTCATAAAATGCACACTAATTTGATAGGATGCATATCCACCCCCCCCTTAAGAACACACCCCAAAATCAATCCCCCCAGCCTTCTCTCTCTAGCAATAGGAAGGTGCTTGGTGTTTCAGGAAAGTATATAAGCAGTCCCTGAAAACAACCAAACTTTCCCCTGATGTTTTGCCTGCATCAGTGGCTGGCATCTTCAGAAGCTGAACTTTATCTTGGTTTCTTTCAGCCAGTTTTGCATTTAGACATTGAGTTTCTGGGCCAGTAACTAGATCCTTTGTAGCACACAGCAGTGAAAAGTACTTCTGCGTTTTATCCTTTTTACAGTCTCTCCCAAAAGACTATTATGAGACTTAACCAGTGCAAAGAACTTAACTTTATACAATGGCCTACTGTGTGCTACTTTTGCTTAATGCTGCCTAAAAGATATGAAGTTGTAGTCCAAAAATTGTATTATTCAGTGAAAAGACCAGTAGAGAAAACTTTTCAATTGCACAATAGCTAGCTAAAAACCTTTTGAACAACTAAACATTCTCCCAGTGAAGTAGGCCACCTGAATGTTTTGAATTCAAGTACTTATAAACTGCAAATGGAGGCCCAATTCCTATTGTTAGTTCAATTTAGTTAGATGCACTGAATCAGTAGTAATATGATAAGTCAACACTTACTTAGATTCTGTTGATCTAATGGGTCTACATTATTTGAAACTAACAATAGAATTTCAGTCTGAAAGAGCTTCTAACAGTCAGACCCTTGTTTTCTCATGTCGAGCTAATTCTTATTTGATCCATTCATCCATCTTACTGTATATACTCATGCGATAGCTGAAGGAAGGTTTTTGGGGCTAACATTATTAATCTTGATATAATCCATGGATATGTCAAGGATCATTCCTCAGAGAGGGGGAAAAGTGCTAGTACCATGTCAAGGGGCCAACACAAGGGTTTAACCCATTGCACCACTGGGAGCTCCTGAATTTCATTTTTTAAACTAAAAAAATGAAATTAGCAGAGAAGCAAGTGTCACCCTTCTGCCAATTGAAAGGAGGGAGGGGTGAACTCACCAGTTTGGTTTTGGAAGATTGGCGTGTCTTCCCAACAGTTGGGAAGACAAGCCAATCTTCCATTCAGGGCTTGAATGAGGGGAGTTGGGAAGCTGGCAACTCTCTATCCAACGGAGGCAGACAAGTTCACTAGCCTCAGCTTGATAGAGGGACACAGGCACCTTTTGGTGCATGATTCATATAGCTAATTGAATAAGCTTTATTTAATTGTATGATAACATGTTTACAACAGTTCTCATATTTTAGTGTATGTTTTGGGTTAGAGTCTTAGATAAATTATTTTGGAGGAGTTATAGTGAGGAGAGAAAAATATCTGATGGATCACAGAGTCCCTGGGAAGAGAGTCAAACATTGTCTGGCTGAGAACCAAAGCATGCCACAAGTCAGTCTGTAGACACAGTTCAAATTTGTAGAACTATCTTCCTAGGTGAAAGGTAACATATTACCTTATTACACCGCCTTTGAACTTTCTCCCTGTTATAAGTATACTGCATGAATAAAAAAATGTGTGAAAGCAACTAGAAGTATATACACGCTTCAATTTTTATTTTCATTAATATTTTGGGTCATAAATTAGATCTGTATAATAAGCAGACAAGAAAAAGAATTGAATTATTTCTGCGTGATTTTTTTCACACCTGAGATCATACCTTGCAGCTTCCCAGCCCAGCAATGCAAACAGTGGTAACCATAGCCCCATGTCTCCCTTTTTCTTTAATTTGGAGAAAGAAGGAGAGGGAATGCCTCTTCTTTGCTTATCCTTCTTATTCCAGAAATCAGGTGAGAGGAGAAGGAAGAAGAGAGCAATGGCCACAAAGACAATGGCCAGAAACGATCTGCCAAAATTAACCTCCTGACAAATCAAGCCCAAAAAGGAGCTGTAAGAAGAATTAGCCCATATGCCTGCCAGCTTCTGGATAGAAATTACTGGGTGTAGGATGACTGAAGAAAGCCTTCCTTCACTAAAGAGATTCTTGGCATTGTTGATGAAAACTCACAAGTGTTCTTAGTTGTGGATCTATCATCATCTTCTGTCCTCCTTTTGCTTTTGGGAAAGGGGAAGATGACATTACAACAGATGCAAAGGTCATATTCAGATGAAATGTTTTGGTACTCACATAGGATCTCACCAACATCCAGGCCTCACCTTCCTTTTAGACATATTCCAGTTTCTTGAAGTTTGCTTTAGGGCCCTAGTATGCATGCAAACTTTTTCTGAATTTTAGTAAAATATACCATTGTATTCTGTGTTGCTTCATAGATTCAATTATATAGCTTTACTTTTTACTAAACAATTACATTTTGATTAAATGGCAGTGGTAGATCTGTTTTTCTCAGCACATTGTAGGTAACATTTCCAGAAAATGCTGTGAACTAGCTGTACACCTAATTCAAGTTAGAGCATTTACTAAGTGTTCAAGTGTACACATTTTACATGTCAGGATGGAACTATTTTTCCAGGTTGGTTGCTCAGCCAAATTTCAGATTTAGCAGAATTGCAAAATTGCCCCAGGCAAGAATTTTGAAAGTCACAGAAGGCAATTAAAGGCAGAACTGTGAGAACTACTGAAAAATTTCACAATTCTTTTTCTCCTCATTATTCTTCACCTGATGTGGTGCTGTATTTCCCCTCCTCCTAAACATAATTGTGTAAGATCAGAATTTGAAAACGTTATTTTATAAATTCACCAACTCCTAAAATCTCCCAGATATTATGGATCTTTTGTCAATGGCTTATTTAATGCATTGGTTCTAGTTACAATGACAATCTTATTCCAAAATCTGTATGTATTTTTTGTGTGCACATGCACACATATTTACTTGTTTACAATTTCCAGATTGTATTAATTGTACCAGTCTTATTAAAAAAGCATTCAGCATGACGTTTCGCTTCCAGATTCCACTAATTCCTTAGATTTCTTGCTTAATTGGGCATCATGCATTGGAATTCCACTTCAGATGTTTAATCTCACTACATGGGAAAAGCAGTGCTCTTTTTGGCTGCATTTGGTATTGGAGTCACATGTCTGCTCTGTTTTCTGTGTGTAAATCTCACTATATATATGCAGTGTGTGAAGGGAGCAAATACATTAAAATAAGGTGAAATACTTTGATTTAATTGTTATCCTTTTATTCTGTTCTCTTTTGTAATAACTGGGTGAGTCGTTTCCTGAATATCCATCTTTAAATGAATTCCAAGGCATTCATTAAAATCTTGTTAGAATGTGCAACCTACACCAAGATGGCAGAAATAATGATATATACAGAAAAGATTGTGGTAGAATATTTGGCTACAATTCTCTACTATGATATATTGTATTTTGGTCTGGAAGTGTATGTATATGATAAAAGCAGCAGTGACACTGTTACCTATGCTTAGAAGAGATGGCATGAATTTACATAAAAATATTTTCTTTGTAATCAAAGAGCTCATTATGTGATAGCTAAAGATTATCACCTTTCTGATATGTGGCAATTACATTGTTTTGTAGTTCTCAGTTTAATCATTATGTAATTGAATTTTCCTATCAGCGCAGAAGGGTTGCTCCACACCAGCATCTGAATATAGCACACTATCTTCTGGTTTCATCTTGATCTTTTAAAACTTTCACTTTTATATACTCTAAAGAAGCTGTTTTGGGCTTTAAGCTTTTTGTTCGTTATCTTGTGACAAACTTCACCAGGACTATAAAGAAATAGTTGATTAAAAATATAAAACATCTCTATTTTCAGAAAGAAAAGTGGGGAAACCTTGCCAGGCAATGAGGTGGGTATTACTCAATATCATCGCTGCCACCATTTATTTATATAGTGCTATTATTGTACATAGTGCTTTATGGGTAAAAGATCAACAAATGTGTTCCCTCCCTCAGGCTAACAATCTAATTAAGACATGACATGAACAGAAAAGGAGATGGTAGTGTGGGAGTGGGTTTAAAAGATAAAAGATAAAATGCAGAGCATTCAGTTGCTCAAGTCTAGTCTTTCTACATAACATTTCAGTAATTTGAAGTGCTAAGAGTGTTCAGTAGAGTACAAATCATTCTTGAAGGATGATTAATAATAATAATAATAATAATAATATAAAAAACTTTGTTTATACTCCGCCACCATCTCCCCAAGAGGACTCGGGGCGGCTAACATGAGGCCAAGCCCAAGAATTTCAATAAGCAAAGTAAAACAACAGATAATAACATCAAATCAAATGCAAACAATAACAAAATAATACAATCGGGTAAACACAGGATATAAAATAAATAAAAGAATTGAACACAGTGGGCTGGGCCAAATGCAAGGGGTAAAATTATAAAACCCTGGATGAGATAGATAAATGAGATAGTGTATCTGGTGGGAAATTCAGATGGGACAAACGATGGGGTTGATTTTCATTGAGGGATGATATAAAGTACATCAAAAGGACAAATTTGTACTAGGACGGTCATGGTATGGGGATTTGTTGTTCATTCCTCAAAGGATTGATCTCAGTTTCTTTAAACATTGGTAAAATGCAGTATCTAAGCTCTCTAATCAATATAGGTAGCTTGTCTACACAGTCTATTTAACATCTAGGACTTGTCTACCTTGATTTTAAAAAGATCTTACTCATCTCAAAGGTGCCTTGATAATTGATAAAGGTAATTAATATTCCGTATTGTAATATTCTATGGTTGGTTAACCAAAATAGCTTTCAAATATAACAAGCAACATCTTGTGTAATCTTTTACAATGCAGAAAGAAGTCAAAAAAGAGCGAGCTGTAGTAGACAGAGTATTTTTTGCAAGAATTTGTCAGATCCTGAAAGTTATGGTCCCCAGAACATTTTGTAAAGAGGTAAGTTTCAAAATACGATTATTGTGTAATTATGTTGTTCTTGTTTGCCATTACAATGCTAGAAATGTCATTTGCAAATTTCATTTGTGCCAGCCTATTTCCATACATCATTTTAAGTTAGCCATGTGTAATCCGACTCAGGTTACGTATCAAGTTACTCTGATCATTTCAAAACTGAAAAGCATACAATGTAACACATAATGGGCACTTCACTATCTTTGGGGTTTTTCCAGGAAAGTGGAAAAAAATGCAAATAAGCCATTTTTTTTTAACCCGAGAAAACATCTCTCTAGAAATCTCAAGGATCTTTAGGTCCTTCTATAGGAAGCTGACTATAGAATCATGCTAGAGGACCTACTAATGTCCAAAGAAATTGTGGGCTCTCTAGAAATCTCTTATGTCTTACAGTGCAACTCTGTGGTCATCATCCAGCAGAAATTGACCATAGTTGCAACCAAATGAGGAGTCTTGAGAGCAGCCAATGAAAAGTCCTGTCTTATGTGGCCATAAGTAGGAGGATAGAAATCATAATAATGGATTATTATCACTTCTTTTTAACAGTTAGCTCGTTAGGCTGTTTTTTCCTGTCCATCTATTTCTTGATTTTGTTTTATTTCTGTCCTTCCTCTGTGCTAATATTGGGATGCAAGCTGGTTTGTTTCATAAAGAACAGTAAGACACAATAAGTTATTACACATGAAAATACAAATTACATTATGCTAATTAAAAAAATTGATCCAGTTAAAACACTGGGCTGTATGGACATGTTCCAGATCTCTCCTGATGTTTCAATCACATCTATGGCAGGCATCTTTAGAGGTTGTGAGATATATTGGAAACTAAGCCATGGAGGTTTATATATTTGTGGAAGGTCCAGGGTGGGAGAAAGAGCTGCTTTCTGTTGTAGGCAAGTGTTAAAACCAGTTTAAACACTTTTAAAATAGCATACAAATAATACGTAAGAATAAAAAAGGCAGAACCAGTGTAGTGTAGTGGCTTGAACATTTTGTTATGGCTCTTGAGACCAGGTTTCAAATCCCCATTCATGGAAACCCACGGGGTGACCTTGGGCAAGTCACGCTCCTTCAGCTTCAGAGGAACGCAAAGGTGAATTGCCCCTAAAGAAATCTTTTCCAGAAAACCCCATGATATGTTTGCTTTATCATCTTTAAGTTGAAAATGATTTGAGGACATACCACTGTAACAAAATATGAAGACTCAATATACCCATCGTCAAACCTCTGATGGTAATAAGTCAGTCAGAGGTTTAGAGATGGTTACTAGAAGAAAATGGAAACCAGTGAAGGTGATTTGAATAGTTTGTTCCATATTAGAAGTTGTAATTAGAACACCTACACTGCATTTTTACCAACTAAGGTTTTGAGGTGGGCCTTATTTAGAATAAGTTGCAATCTAGTTTGGATATTGCTAGTGCACATGTGTCACTTAGTATTCTTTTGTTGTGGTGGTGCGGCCTAATTAAATGAGTGTATATGTTATTTATACATTTCCTTGAGTTCTGGAAGGGAAGGGAGAGAACACATTCTTTGGGGAAACGGTTGCATTAAGCTATTTCTGCTGAAGAAGTAAAAAGGAAGGGCTTAATATTTAGCATAACTTACAGATTGTTGTTGCTCATTCCTGTCCCATTTGCAAATTGGCAGGGTATAGAACATTACTGAGTGATGGAAATAATATGTTGATCAGCTTTTTTTTTTGTGCAGGTGGATTACAGCCGTCTCCATCTTATAGACATGAAAAAGAGCTGGGGCTGTGTCTGCTATAAATTTCATGCCAAAGACTGGCTGAAATTTGTATGCAAAATGAATGAAAACTAGATTTTTACCTAACCTTTGTGGTTGTTCTGGGTTTTCTTTTGTGGAATATCCTAAAGAAAAATACCATCTCTAAATAGTATCGCCTTACTTCACTTATTTTAGACAGGTTATTTGGTACTTATTGCCATGATGTTGATACTTCGCACATATTGTGACATTTGGATGATTCAGAATGGAACAGTTATTGAGAGGTAAGTGTTAGAAGTGACTATTCCACCACTAATTTGCTGTGGGGTTAGAAAATGATTGTGATCTGTAGAAACAAAGGTTGCATCCAGATAACTGATATTTAAGATGTTAATGTTTCAGCTCACGTGCCACAGGAAGCCTTTGTCTTCTCCTCTTGTGTAGCTGTCTGAAGGAGAAACATTCACATTTGAACTTTGACTTCTATTTCTAACTATAGCTAGATATTAGCGTATTTTCACTTACTGTAATTTACACACAGTTCTCCTGGTTCATATGTCAGGTAGAACACTTTAATTTAAAAATCAGAGCAGAAACTTGCAGTCCGTTTACATCAAGAAAAGCAGGAGCGCTTGAATTTGAAGCTAATTTTATCTCATTAAGTTCAGTGCACAGCCATTGGTATGCAATTGTCATAAATTGAAGGTGGATGCAAGAAAAAGATCAATAATACCATTAAGTAGTTCATGAAAAAGAAAAACATATCTGCTCCTGGTCACTTTTTATTCGATATACGAAACATAATACATGATATTTGATCAGTTTTATTTGGAGTCTAGTCATACTGTACAATCCAAACTCTGTAAAAACTTGTGGGCAGCCTTGTTATTCATCAAATTAATGTGTGATTTAAAAAGACACGAAAGCATGTTTATGCTTTTTAAAAGGAATAAGTACTCTTTGAAATTGCACTTTTTTCTTCTGAGTTCCATTTTTTAAAAGTTTATTTAAAAGAATAGTTTTTTAAACACCTTGTTTTGGATCTCTGTTTTGAATTTCATACTTTATTTGTGTATTCTGGCTAAAATAATTTGTGTGCTAGAGTATATTCTTATTTGTTGTCTTACACATTCTGTTCTATATTAAAGTGAGTTGTCTTATGATATTGCAGTTGTATGTTATAGTGATTTTCTTAAAATTTATGTACTGCAAAGTTATAAACTAGAAACTACACAGTAGTTAAGTTGTTAAATTGTGTATATTTCTTTTCTTGCAGTGCAATCGTAAGCAGGGATCTGTCGCTATTCAAGAAATTCTTTATTAAATTTGTAGTTTCCATTCCACTGGTAAACAGATATTGTAAATATTAGCATGCATCTATTACATTTATGCTCATAACTGATGCATAACTGAAGCAATTTGCTTTTTATCTCCAGTGGTTTGTGGCTTCACAGATTTAGTTTGAGCTGTGTCAACTAAATTGGACAATCTATAGTGCTCCTCTTTCATTTTCACCTTAATTGCTTCAGAATGTATATTCTTACAGTTGAACTGGATGCTTTTGGTGATCTTCGCTGTTGCTTTCTGTCTCTTTGAAAGAAAACCTTTTGCTTAGGTTGATAGTTCTGCTCCTTCACATTTTAAATCTAGTTATTGCCAACCTGTCAACTTTCATGTTCTTTTTAAAAGTTCCTGCCATGATAATTTGATCTGTTCATCCTGATCTGAACCCCTCACCTGTTTTTATTTTTGTGTACCACTTTTGATAATTTTAACTTTCTTTGTTCATAGTAGCCCTTTTTAGCAAAATGGCTATGCCCACTGGGCTTAATGGTTTTTATTTCTTCCAAAGAGCACGGGGCAGCTTCATAAAGTGGTAGTCCCCTGCAACACTCTGCTATCCTTCTGCTACATTTAACTTAACTGATGTCCTGATGTCCTTATGATATTTGTTTTGTTCTAGTACAGTGGTTCTCAACCAGTGGGTCTCTAGATGTTTTGGGCTTCAACTCCCAGATAGCCTAACAGCTGGTAAACTGGCTGGGATTTCTGGGAGTTGTAGGCCAAAACACCTGGGGGCCCTCAGGTTGAGAACCACTGTTCTAGTATTACCTAATTTTAAGGGAAGGGACAGCAAAATGCCTGTCATTATGATACTAGGATATGCAGGAGTTGGCTGGGAATTACAGAGGAATTGAGCTGAACAACAATGAGCATGTTCAAAGACAGCTTTTGTATTTGTAATATGTAGTACTTTCCTTAGAGAGAGAAAATACTTATGGAAGCCCTTAAGTGTTAACAACTTCCACAATTAGATGTGTTAGTGTTACCACAGTAGCAGCAAGAAGGTGAATGGGTTTCCATAAGCCAGCTGTCACTTTGGCAACAGATGTGGGAGCACATCTGTAATTTTTCTACGATGGCAACAGAATCCTGCTTTCCCTGTTGAATGTCTTGTCCTGTGTTCACCTTAAATGGCTTTCTATTTGCCCTTGTGGAAAAACTGCGGGGTGGGCCTTGCTTCCTATGCTATTAACATTTTGCATGTGGTGGTTTGCAGTGCTATCATTGGCCGCAGTAGAAAAGATTTCAAGAGGTACTTGTTCAACTTCATCGCTGCCATGCCTGCTGTAAGTGGTGCTTTTTTGTTGACATCCCTTTGGTAAAAGTGATTGATAATGTTAATTCCAGATGAATCCAAACTAAGTTTTTAAAAAGTTTTGGAATCCTACAGATTCAAGATCATGAGTGATTCCAAAGGGATATAAGAAATATGTAATCACCCCCCAAAAGAAAATCTGGGCACAATGTACCTCGATTTAGTATTTTACAATCAAGGATTCTGTTAGCCTTCTGTGTTGCATTATCCCACTCTCATTGTGTGTCTGGAATTTTACTTAAGAGCAGTGAATTCAGGTAAAGTGAAGGAGAAGAGAATGAAGCCCTCACTTTCAAAAGTCTCAAAAGACTTCTCCAGCCTAGTGCTCTCGAGAGATGTTGATTTGCAACTTCCATCTCAAGTCAGCATAGTCAGTGACCATGCTGAATGGAAAAGACGTAGTCCAGTGTTTCCCAAACCTTAATTTTCCAGAAGTTTTGGATTTCAGCTCCCAGATATCCCAACTCTTGGCCAAGCTGACAGTAAAATATGTATTTTATGGCATTTGTATTCCACCTCTTATCAGAGGTAATACAATTCTATATATATTTTTTAAAAAATTAGAGTCTATAATAAATGCATTTCATGTATAATTAGTCCTCCACTTTCATGGGAGTTAGGGGTGCAGGGCCCCTGCAAATAGAAAAACACTACTTTTTAACCTGAGGGACTAAAAAGTCACTACTTTTTAACCTGAGGGAACACTTCCCTAGGAATCTCTAGGCCCTTCAGTGTGACTCTTTGGCCAATTTTCAGTGGAAATTGACTGTAACATCACACCAAAGGACCTAGAGATTCCACAAGAGAATGTATTAATCAAATTGATAAATAATCAAATCCATAAAACTTAAACCCACAAATGTGGAGCGACAATAAACCCTGGGGATAAATAAAACTTTTAAGGTATCATAGATTAGTCATATAGGGCTTTTATTGGTCATAACTAGCATTTTGAATTGTGCACAGAAGTTGACTGATAGCCCCAGTTAGCAGTCTAACCATAGCATTTTGGACCAGTTTGTATTTCTGATCATTCTTCAAAAACAGCCGTTTATATCGAGTATGTTAGAGTAATCAAATAGGGGTGCAAATAATGTAGCCATATAAAAAATCTCCAGAAATGGGCACTGCTAATGCATTAGTTTTAACTATTCAAATGTACTCTTTGTCACTTAAAAACCCAGGGATCCAGATTCAGGATTGAATCCAGATGTAAACTCAAACCGGGAATTTGCCTCTCTCTCGAGAATATAACCTAATCCAGCATAGGCTGGATTTTTATTTTTCTGATTGGTCTTTTGGTCAACCAGAAACACTAGTCTGGATGAAATTTCAGTTTGTTTAGCTTCATCTAGTCCATCCATTAGTGATATCAATGGTTGTGAACTAGAGCAGCTTCCATGAATTTAGACAGAAAATAAGTATAGAGATGTCATCAGGCTGTTGGTGATGGCTGGTCTCAAATCTTCCAAGAACTTTTGATCATGATTTCATGTATTTTAGAGTAGTAAATGGTGTTGGGAACAATGCAAGGCCCTGAGGAACTCCATAGCCCAGTAGCAAGAGTATCCAGTAGGAACCCCCCAACACCACCTATTGAAGTTTTCACTTCCAGGAAGAAATGAAGGGACTGCAAAGCAGTTCCCTCAAATCCCATCCCAGAATGAGGTCCAAAAGGAGTATCATGGCTGATAGTATTCAGAATGTCAACATTATATTCCTTTGCTGGGAATAGGACTGGTTCCAGAGAACCAGTTCAGTTCCCAACAAAAGCAGTCAGCCAATGTGATCCATGCTGTCTCTATCCATAACCAGGCCTGAAGCTTACGTTAAATGGTACTAGACAATTCACCTTCTCTATGAGCTCTGCCTAATATTATAGGACATGAACCTGAAAGGGAGCATTGGAGATTGGCTGGTAATTATTCAGTGTTACATTAATAAATTGTGGTAAAACAATTACCTTAATAAATTACAGTAGAGCAGTTACATTACTAACATAAATATGGTGCCCAATTTGGTTGAGTTGTCTCTTTCTGCCCTTTTAAAATTCAAAAGTAATGTGTTGCTTTCTCCCTTCAGCTAAACTATCTAAATAGCAGAATATTTAGGCTTTGTTGAAAAATGAAGTGTATTTTAATAATAATGATGATGGTAATGATAATAATAGTGTTACTTGTTATCTGGTTTTCCTCATGACTTGACACATTGTTAAAAAACAAAGACCATGAAATAGATGTATTAAAAACATAGAACAAAGACAAAATAGTAATAAAATGTAAATTTAAAATTCATAGTTTGAAATTGACTGGGTAGCCCTGTCAGGAAGATAGAATAAACAGTTCCATTCCACATTATTCATAACTTCTATTTCTTTTGTGAAATTCACTTTCTTTAAATTTTAAAGGTGAACTTTGTTCTAAAAATGTAAGCTAATTCATTACAATAATATGCTCTAAACAAAAAAGACCTTGCAATAATCTTATTTCCTGAAAATACACACACATTTTGGAGCAAAGGAACACTGGCATTCATTTTGTAGCCGTAGGAGCTAGACTAAAGCTGACATTCCTCATTGATTAGATTAATCCATTTTAAAAAGTCAGTCACATTCACTAACTAGTGCAAGTGTCAATTTTTCATTTTGTAATTTTTTAAATGTAGGTAGCAAGTGCTATCTAAAAATATATTTTACAATATCTGAAAACAACCAAACAGCGCCTTAAATTGAGAAGTTCTCTTCCATTACAGGAAATGTTCTTTTTCCAACCTCCTGAGAACGCACTGCACGAGAGAAGTAATTCCATAGCTAGAGATGCTCTTCCATTTGTGCAAGACTCCACACAAGCTATTTATGGAGACCTTTTACAGCCTATGTTATAGTTTATATCTAGTTTATTTACCTTATTTCTTATGCTATAATATTAAACAACTCCCCATTACAGTATGAGGAACCTTTTGCTATCTAGAAGTGTTGTGTGGTTTCTGTGCTATATGGCTATATTCTAGCAGCATTTTTCCTAGACCAGTGTTTTTAATAGTTCTTCTTGTCTTCATCGTTGCTTGGATCTAGGACTGTGTTTTTAAAGCTTTAAAAAGCTTATTTAAGCAGTCACTTTAAAACTATTTTATTCATTTTTTGCAGATTTAATTAAGTAATTGATTTATCAATTAACAGGAAAACCCTATGTATTTTTTCTTAGAAGAGAATCCAGTTGATTTGATGGGCTTACTCCAAAATAGGATTTTGTATTACAATGTGCCATTTGATCTAATCAAAGGTGGTGGATTTTATGTACATTAAACCTTGTATTCTCAGTGACGCAGTTTGGCAAATTTTATGTTATATTCTTTGGCCAAAATCCACTTGGGGGCATAATAAAATTCTTGCTTTCCGAAGAACTGGGAAAAGGTTTATGTCTTTTTATTACTTCACTCCCCCCAACTAATACACCCTGTTAACTCTTCAGAATCAGTTTTCAGTTGGTAGGGAGTGGTTATTTCTGGGCAGCAGTTGCAACAAGATGTTGGATTTTGGACTTCATTTCTAGCTGTTCGTGATTTGTGTTATATTTTGTTCTTAGATTTCCCTGGTGAACAACTTCTTGAAGTATGGGCTAAATGAACTTAAGTTGTGCTTCCGAGTGCGACTAACCAAGTACCTTTATGAGCAGTATCTTCAGTAAGTAATTTTAAACTGTATCTAATGGTTTAAAATTGAATGAAAATAGCGGTGAGGTAAATTAAAGTTTGCTTTCCTGTAACTATCCCTAACATCTTCAAAATATGTTTTATTTGAAAACTGAAAGTGCCATATCAATTTGAATTTTCTGCTATTTTAGGACTTTCACTTACTACAAAATGGGGAATCTAGACAACAGAATAGGCAATCCTGATCAGCTGCTTACACAAGATGTAGAAAAGTTTTGTAACAGTGTAGTAGACCTATATTCCAACCTAAGCAAGGTAAGTATAAATAAAAAATATGCTTTTTCAACCAACTTGACGTAATCTTATATTCAGTCTATATTTTGTACAATATGGGGAACCTTGTGGTTGTCTGCTTGTTCTTCTCTGTTGTTAGGAAGGACAGTTGGCACTCGGAAAGGTTTCAAAGCAGCTTTAAAGAAGCAAGCAGTATGCCACTACTTCTTCTCCATGCTTAGTCATGATGTAGGTGACTAGATGGGCTTCCTCAATGCATTCCAGGCACTTCTTGTTTGAAACAGTGCCATCAGGACTTCATCTGGAGGGTGGGAAGCAGGGGATCTTTTTCACAAAGTATTCATTTTGACTTACCCATCTTCTGGAGTTAGGGAGTGGGGTTGAGGAGGTGAAGGGTGCTGCTCCTTGTATGCAAAACTCTTGAAGACTTTTCCTCCCTCCCTTCCACCCAACATCCCATTCTTCACCCTCCAGACCAGTGGTTCTCAACCTGTGGGTCCCCAGATGTTTTGACCTCCAACTCCCAGAAATCCTAACAGCTGGTAAACTTGCTGGGACTTCTGGGAGTTGTAGGCCAAAACACTTGGGGACCCACATGTTGAGAACCACTGCTCCAGACATTTCGAGCAAGAAGTACCTGGAATGCAGTAGGAAAGCCCAGCAAGTTGCCTATCTCGCACCTTGGTGCAGGAGAGGCAGAGAAGAAGTGGTGACTGGAGAGGTGGCAGAGGAGGTAGCAGCTTCAAACAAATATCCCTTCTCACAGCCAAACTTTTCCTTTTTCTTCAAGTTCAAAGGCCATGAGAAACAAATGTGTTGTTGTACAGAGCCTTTTCTGCACCCTGTTTTCTTCCCGCTTTTCTTCTTTTCTTCTCCCCTTTTGCTCATTCAGCATGGCAAGACAGCACATTTTGCTTGCTTCTTGAAAGCTGGGTCCAAACTTCTGGTTGCAGCCAAATAAGGCACCACCCACTTATTCTACTTCTTAGAGACCAAAGCATTTCCATCTTTTGACAGGGCTGTGGTTTCTTACCTGTCGGATAAGCAGAGGAGGCCTGTATTGCATAACATGCAGTACTTCCACACCAAGTTTCCAGCAACTCTCCCAACCAGCCCTCAATGCTGCCAGAATCATAGTCTTCCTCCATCACTTATATTCCCTTCTCTTTTGGAAGAAAAGTGCATTGTGGGCATTCAGGGCACTATGGTATGCTCTGCCCCCCCCCCCCCTCGGCAGACCACTAACTTTTCACCGACCTTTAGCAGTAAATGTAGTGAGATCAAGTCCATCAGTAGGGCAACCTTTGATAATCCTGCATATTTCAGTGTGGTCCCCTAATGCTGAGAGGTTGCCCCTCCTTGTTATAAAAGAATTCACCTTTGCTATCTTTGTTCTGGTGCATATCCTCTGTCTAATCAAATTATTTTCAAATAAGTTGATTCTTCATATGATGTAGTCAGTGGTTTGCAACATTATTTTGGTAATCTATCATTTGTTGTCTTCCAAGGAACAATTAAAGTCTTTGTAGTCTCTTTTGTTTCTCTCATCATAAATCTGGGAAACTATATTTTGTTGAACAGCATTTTATTCTGTCTTTAGGTGATCAGTAACCATAGCAATCAGATAAAGGCTTAAAAGACAAGATAGATGTTAACTTTTTTTTTCTGTTGACAACTTAAAATAGTTTTATAAATATAACTGTAATAGCCAATTTGTACCATCTTAGAAGGAATGAATATGAAACTGACAATGAATCTTCTCTTTCAGCCATTTTTGGATATTGTTTTGTATATCTTCAAGCTAACAAGTGCAATAGGAGCTCAGGTAAAATCATATCTTTTTTTAAAAAAATATGCACTGTAGTTGCCTGGAATAGTATATATGATATATAGTACAAATATATTTATCTGGTAGCTTTCTGAGAAACATTTATAAAACCATTTTTAACATATGCAAACAATTAGTCAGAAGCTAATTATTTTTTAAAAAGTAATGTATGACACTAGACGAGTGAGGAATAATAATGCGAAATGAAGTGCTAAGCTAGGTGCTTTTCTGTGCTTATCTTGGGTTTCATATTCATTGATACTTAACATTCATATTGTACACAGTAATATGTAGAAAGATACATTAATCATCACTTTTTAAAGCTTTGTGGAAATATCATTTCCAAGGGAGTAAGTCATGATAATGTATTATAACAAAATAATATAATTATTCAGAAAAATGAGAACAAAGACTTATGTGCCTCTTTAAAGGCTAACCCAAGTTTTATTTGGCATGAACATTGGTGGAAACTTGTGCCAAATAAAACTAGTCTTTAAAGCATCATGTTTGCATGGCAGTGTGACTGTTGAATGATCCATAGATTCAATTTGTGGGTAAATCTAAGAAGCAATCCCAAATGGTTTGTAAGCAATTCATTTCATATTTGTCTGGAAAATTTATCTGGAGACCAATTCAAGTCAGAGAAGCTACCTCAGGCCTTCGGTTTTTACATTTGTGGCTTGCTTTGTGTCAGTGTGTTTTATATATTTTACCCTATATACTACTGTATAAGTTTAGAAATTGTAGTCAAAATGTCACACAAAAATATTTTATTAGTTTTATCACTTTGATGTGATTTTTTTCCTCTGAAAGCATCCAGCAGCTCTGATGTGCATGAATAGTAGTGTCAAAGTTAGGAAAAACACTCCTCATACTGGGATCCAGTACACACACACACACAAACACACACACATGCATTCATTATCATTATTATTTTACATGTTGCTAATAGTTTTCTTTTTGAACTCTTCCTTCCTAAACCTTTGCAGGGGCCTGCTTCCATGATGGCCTATTTGATTTTTTCAGGCTTTTTCCTCACCCGCTTAAGAAGACCCATTGGCAAAATGACTATCACGGAGCAAAAATATGAAGGAGAGTACAGATTTGTCAATTCACGGCTCATTACGAACAGGTATTGGAGTTAAACACAAATTGGTCTTTGTAAAACCCACATTTATTATTTTTGTTTTGTGCCGTCACCTCGTTTTTTTAAAATGATTTTTATTAAGTTTTTCAAAGTGCATTTATAAAATCAAGGGATTATTAAGAAAAAGGGGGGGGGGGGTAAAAAGAAAGGAGACAAAAGATTGAAAACTTCCACTCTTCTCTATCATGGTATTCAAAAAAAAGAAATAAGTTGATTCTTCCAGGATATTCCTTTTCCTGTTTTCCATCGTCGATAATTCTCCAGTTTTTTTCCCTCCCCTTATATATATATCTATATTTTATATTGTTTATTATTGATATATCCTTTAGGTTTTTATTGATCCATTTCTTCTTCCTTTTTAGTCTGTTTATACTAGTATCTTGATTTTGTTTTCTTTTAGCCATTCCTTAATAGGAGCCCAGTTTGTTACTTTAATATGTGTGTTTCATGATCTTGCTAATATATATATTAGGTGGTCCATATTCATGATGTCCAATATCTTTTCCATCCACTCTTCCTTTGTTGGTATTGTGTTTTGTCTCCAGACTCTCGCCAATAAGATGCAGGCTGCTGTTATTAAGTAGACGAACTATTTGTCTACCTAATAACACCTCGTTTTTGACATGTCAACCATATCACTGGCCTTTCTTGGCAATATTATGGGAAAACAAGATGTTTTCTGTATTTTTTATTTTTGAAAAAAAATAGTACCTATGGAAGACCTGAACAGCATTCCATGGCCATAGTCTTTAGACTACATGCACAGGCTAGCAGCTTTCAAGATGTTTTACTCCTATGAGCTGATAACTATTTTAAATGTTCATCTCTGTAATAAAAAGTTAGGGTAGAATCCTGTGGACTTGAGTTACAGGAAATAAAATTCCATGGGTGTGTAAAGTCGGTATCCAGAAGAGGGCTGCTATAATATTAATATGTAACAGAGCCAAGAAAGTACACAATGGACATTGGTGCATGATACGCAGCAAGTCGGATATTCATGGGACATCAAAGCATCAGTCCTGATGTGCATTGAACATAATGGTAGTGTTCCATTATGTATCTTTGCAATTTAGTAAAGGGATTTCATATCCTCTAAGATACACAACATAGAGAACCAATGTGGTATAGTGGTTTGAATGTTGGACTATGACTGGAAATCAGGCTTCAGACCCTTGTTTGGCCTTGGATGCCCACTGGGTGACCTCGAGCAAGTCTCTCTGCTTCAGAGGAAGGCAAAAGCATACACTTCCTGAACAAATTTTGTCATCACCCCCCCCCCCCCCCCCCCCCCCGGCAATAGCTTCATCTTAGGGTTGCCATAGATTGGAAATGACTTGGAAGCGTACAACAGCAACATAACAGATCTTGTAGGATTACAGCAATACTTCGTTAATGTGTTAGGACAGTTGCCAGTTTAAGAACCTGGCATCAAGGATTATGGATAATCGTATATGATGACATTTTTACAAGTGTACTGATTAGGAGCTATTTAACTTTGTGTTTGGTTATTCCAGAGCAAAGAACATTATCTACTTTTGATATGATTGCCCCACTTACTATAAAATATTATAAAAGGGTGGTGAATAGGTATGAGCAAGTACAGTATATTGTACTGCTTCATGTCACAGGGGATAGAAAATGAACCCTTCTGTTTTAAAATCGTCTTTGCAATAAAAAAAAATAGAATAGAATGTGACAGAATCTAGCTACAGGAAAGGAGATTCCACCTGAAGATTAGGAAGAACTTCCTGACTGTAAAGGCTGTTCAATAGTGAAACTCTCTTGTCTCAGAGTATGATAGTGGCTCCTTCTTTGGAGGCTTGTAAACAGAGGCTGGATGATCATCTGTCGGGTATTTTGAGTGTGCTTTTCCTGCATGGCAGGGAGTTGGGCTAGATCAGTGATTCCCAACCTTTGGGCCTCCGAGTGTTTTGGACTTCAACTCCCACAACAGCTGGTAAGATGGCTGAGTTTTCTGGTTGAAGTTCAAAACACCTGGAGGCCCAAAGATTGGGAACCATTAGACTAGATTGCCCATGCTGTCTCTTCCAACTCTTCCTTTTCTAGTTCCTTTTCTAGTTCATCTCATTCTTTGTGATTTTATCTAAATATTTGACAAGGAGTGATGTTAGATTTCTTTTTGGTTGTTTTTTTTTTATCCAAGAGATAAAACCTGAATCTCCTACTTGAAGTTCAGAATGGTAGCTACTGCTGTAACTTTGATTCTGTCACCTCTAGTCTCCCTCCCAATTCTGTAACACAGGTAATCTATGTCTGATTTCTGACCACTCCTATTCTTGTCTGTGCATTAAAAGGTGTTTGTTTTTTACAGTGAAGAAATTGCTTTTTATAATGGAAATCAGAGGGAAAAACAGACAATTCACAAAGCTTTCCGCAAACTGGTAAGTAAGGAGTTGTACATGTAAATATTAAATTCCACAGAATTTGAAATATGGGCATAGTGGTTTATTTATGGACTTTTCAATAAGCCATTTTGAAATAAAATGTCATCTTAATACAATGTAGCTTTAAAAAAGAAAAAGAGTGAACAGATCTATTTCCCTGTACACCGTTCTACATCGCTACTGTTTAGAAACCACAGAATTTAGCATCTTTGAATCAAACTGGGGAAAACAAGTAGCATAACCATGCATTTCATCAGATGCAAGTACTATATAAAATATATTGCTAGAGGATACAGTCAGACAAGCAAGTCTGTTGAGTGTTCCTTTTCTATAGCCTGTATTTGATTTCAAGTCCCATTGAAAGCCACTGAGATGAACTGCATAGTGACTTCGTATCCAAAGGAGTTAGCAAAGGGGAGTTACTTTTTTCAAAGAATTAGAATAGTATTTTTTTAAATCACTGTGTAATGTGGCTTTCATCTTGATGTAAGCTTGTGTGCTAGACCGACCTTTGTCTTCTCACTTGTTATCAAACACCTGGTGAATTAATGAATTAGGGTAGGGTAGAATTTCAAATGAAGATTTCAACCGAGGAGAATGGATACTCCTGATTTCTTCCATCCCCTTCTTCTCAGGAAGAGCTACTAATTCTTTTGTCTAAATTTTGTGGATGTATGGGCATAATTCCCCATTTTTTCATTTCACCAGGTCGAGCACTTGCATAATTTCATCTTGTTCCGGTTTACTATGGGCTTTATAGACACTATTATTGCCAAATGTAAGTGTGGACAACTATTTTCTCCCCTGTCGCAGGCATCTGTGAAAGAGCATGTGTAAGCTGCTTAATTTAAGTTGGGTGGCCAGGATTCTCAATTCCACTTTTATGCCCCTCTCATGCAACATCCCTTAGAATTCTGGAAAGTTTGCTCAGAACCTAGGAATGGGTTATCAGGAGGAGAGGAATGGAGAATTATCCTGGAACTAGTAGAGTTCTGCTGACATTTCTTTAGAGCCAAACGGCTTTCTAAACTAAATGTAACTGAAGTTTGCTTTATTGGAGTTTAATGGGTGGGACTGGTAAGAAATTGAGTAGAAAAGCTGTGTAGTATTGCTGCCTGATTACTGGATATATGTGTGCTTTAAAAATCATGGTTACTTTTCACTCAGAAAAAACACTGAAAGAAATGTTGTCTTTAAATCTTTGCAGATCTTGCCACTGTAGTTGGCTACCTGGTTGTTAGCCGCCCATTCTTGAATTTATCTCATCCACGCCATCAAAACAGTTCACATGCAGAACTATTGGAGGTAAGTAATATGCTACCGAAAGTAGCTATGATTGAGTAGTATGCATGTTATCAGTTCATTTATGAGTGTTTCTTTGTTTTGTTCCTCTAAGGATTACTACCAAAGTGGAAGGATGTTGCTGAGAATGTCTCAAGCTCTTGGCAGGATAGTTCTAGCAGGTCGTGAGATGACACGATTGGCTGGGTAAGGTTGATCGATAATGTATTTAACTAGTTGACTTCATAACATTTATGTTGATACTATTTATTAATTACAGTCATCCCTCTACATTCAAAGTTTTGACTTTGACCGATTTGATTATTCATGAATTTGATTAATAATGTTATTTCTGGGAGTCTAAGGCACATATGTCAAATGCAAGGCCCATGGGCTGAATTTGGCCTGCTATATCATTTTATGTGGTCCATGGGCCTTTCAGTGTGAGTCCTTTTCTCTGAAATGAGTTTAGACTTGGGGTGGTGGGAGGATCAAGATTTACTTCCACCAATATTATGGCAAATTCAGCAAAAGAGGGGTCCATCCCCTGATGGGTTCAGTGAGTGTCTGATATGTTTCCTTGTCTTCTAGAAATTGCATATTTCTAGCTTATGGGCATGATCATTGAACTAGACTACTCAGGTTGTTGAATGCTCTTAAGTGCGCCAAGAAACATGGTTTAAAATTTTCTGTGGTATAATGTAAATGTAATTTGTTAATGTTTGTCACTTAAATGAAAATTTTACATTTCAGTTTCACAGCTCGAATTACAGAATTAATGCAAGTTCTGAAAGAGTTAAACAGTGGCAAATACCAGCGAACTATGCTAACACAAGACAAGGGTAACTGACAGTCTTAATGGAAATATTTAATTCATGAAAACTCTTGTTTATATCTTAATGTTTATGTATGTTTGTTTTTAATTTCAGATGTAGATCAAGAGCCAGTTATCCCATTGATTCCTGGATCTGGACGAATTGTTATAAAAGATAACATTATCAAGTAAGAAAAGTTTTCATTTGATTGTTGTTGTTGTTGTTGTTGTTGTTGTTGTTGTTGTTGTTGTTGTATGCCTTCAAGCTGATTCCAACCTATGGAGTTGATAAGGTGGAGCTGTTACAGGATTTTGGGGGGACAAGATTTGTTCTTAATCTGTATCATCTGAAGCTTTGGAGAATTTCTGCTAGTTGGAGTCAGCAGTACTGGGCTAAATTGACCAATGATCTAATTTGACAGAAGGCAGCTATGTATAATTGCTTCACAGCGATTGCCATCTTCACAGCGATTGCCATCTCTTTAACCAGGATAATTTTTTCTGTGGCATGTCAAATTAGATATAAGTAGCAGTTATAGGCAGCAGAAATGTGTCTTGGAGGTATTTTTCATTATGTGGGAGTAATGTGGGAAGTACAATTAATGTGTTTCTTTTCATTGAAGGTTTGACCATGTCCCATTGGCGACACCCAACGGTGATATCTTGATAAAAGATCTCAACTTTGAGGTATGTTGTCACATTCAAATTGATTGGATCCAAGTTTTTGTGTCCAATCCCCAGAATACATCTTTGCATGATCAAGAGACATTTGTAAAAATTGTAGTGTGTGATGATGGTGAGAAAACTGAAGTGGATTTTACTTTTACCTCAAGCAATGTGTGATTTTAATGTTTGCGTGGATTGTATGATTGTAATGTTTATATTGATATGTTTTGAATTCCACGTTTTAATGTTTAATGATGTTGTGTTTAGTGATTTAATTGATAATTGTATGTTATTATCATTATGTTAGATTTCTGTATGTGAGGCATTAAATTTTGCCATAATTATATTGGAACCCGCTTTGAGTCCCCTGCTGGGGTGAGAAAAGTAGTATACAAGTGAAGTAAATAAATAAATAAATGTTGATTTCTTCACACAAAAAACCCATATTGGCTTCAATAAATTTACTTAAAATGTGGAGCACTCCTAAATACTATAAAATGATGAACCATAATTATAATGCAGGAAATGAAACTGATTATTTATATCAAATAGGCTACCACATCTCACTGCTCAAGCCTAAGCATTTTGCTGAATTTCACTGAGCTAAAGCGTACGTTTCTCCTAGTAAATATGCTTATGTATGCTGTCAGATTGCTTCTGTAATTTCTTACAATTCCAGATCTCTGTCTCTGCTATGAAGGTGCAACCTTCTTTATTCTAATCTCCCTTGGATTCCATATTTTAAGAAAAGTTGGATATAAATAAATACATAATGAATTAGATTTAAATGAACAACAAATAATAAAAACTGAACAATTCTACTAATCCTTTGTTTATAAATGTGTCCATTTTGAATGCTTAAGCAAACATCATGATAAAACAATAAAAACAACCTATGCCAAGTGTGGCTGAGAACTAGGGACATTTAAAATGTGTGAGATAACAATATTATAAAATGCCTATTTTGCTTGTCAAGTTTTGTGTAAATTCTGCAACAAAATATGAGATTTAAGTATTTTAGTGTGTGGTGATGATTAGGGGGGCTACATCAATAGCATCTTGTCTGGTCTGAGCAGGTACTCTTGCTACCTTTAATTTAAACTTTCCAAAGATGTAAATGCTTGCTTCCTTGACTTTTTTTCCAGGTACGATCTGGTGCAAATGTTCTGATTTGTGGACCAAATGGATGTGGAAAGAGTTCCCTCTTCCGTGTCCTTGGTGAGGTGCGTAAAGGCAAGAGTAAAAACACTTGTAATAGCAACAACTGCAAAGTAATGAATTCCTAAACTTTATTACTTTTCTTTTCCTATTGTAGTTATGGCCTCTATTTGGTGGCTGTCTGACAAAACCTGAGAGAGGAAAGCTATTTTATGTTCCTCAGGTAAAGCAAACCATCTCCTGATAAAGCATTCCTTCTTTTTACAGTGTGTCAGCATTTCTTGATTCTTTATCATTTCATTTCAGAGGCCATATATGACTCTTGGAACTCTCAGAGACCAAGTCATCTATCCAGATACGCTAGAAGAACAGAAAAGGAAAGGGATATCTGACCAGGTAAAAAGTCTTTCTATAATTTTTATAGCTAACTTTTTATTGCATGACTTAGAAAGGCTAAATTCACTGTCAACTTGAATGGAAAAAGAATGCAATAATCACAAATGGAAGCAAACTTGTAAGCCTTTACACAATATTTCACTTAATGTTGATAGAATAATAGTTAGAAGAGACCACATGGGCCATTTAGTCCAACCACATGCCATGCAGGAAAAGCACAATCAAAGTACCCCTAACAGATGGTCAACCAACCTCCAAGGGAGGAGCTTTCACCACATTCCATGGCTGAGTGGTCCACTGCTGAACAGTTCTTACAGTCAGAATGTTCTTCCTAATGTTCAGATGAAATTTCCTGTCATTTGCACCCATTGTTCTCACTCCTAATTTCCAGAGCAGCAGAAAACAAGCCTGCTCCCTCCTCATTATGACACCCTTTCACATATTTATACAACACTATTATGTCTCCTCTCAGCCCACTCTTCCGTAGGCTAAACATACCCAGTTTTTTAAGATGCTCCTCATAGGCCATGGTCTCCAGACCTTTGATCATTTTAGTTGCCCTCCTCTGGGCACCTTTCAGCTTGTTGCTATCTCTTTTAGACTTTGGTGCCCAGAATTAGACACAGTATTTCAGGTGAGGTCTACCCAAATCAGAATAAAGAGGCACCATGACTTCCCTCGATCTAGACACCATACTCCTTTTGATGCAGCCCAAAATCCCATTGGCTTTTTAGTTGCTGTATCACACTATTGGCTCATGTTCAACTTGCTGTCCATGAAGACTCCAAGATCTTTCTCACGTGAACTGTTGTTGAGCCGTTCCTTATTTTTGCATTTCATTTTTTTCTGCCTAGGTGTAGCATCTTACATTTATCCTTGTTGAGATACATTTTGTTAGCTGTAGCCCAGCTCTCGAATCTGTTAAGGTCATTTTTAATTTTGATCCTGTCCTCTGGATCCAAAGGACAGGATCCAGAGAATCCTGTCCTCTGACCCATCCCTCCTAATTTGGTGTAATCTGCAAATTTGCTGGTATATCTTTTATTAACATAAACAGACAAAAAATTAAAAAGTTTATATGTTTTGTCATTCTCTTTCTGGTGAATATTACTTAGTTGAGTGCAAACAATTTTGTATTCTCAACTATGCTTCTTAGAATTATGTTCAGTTCTAATGTGAGGAGAAAATAAAAAAATGTAAATAAAAAGAAAAAATATCTGTTTTAATGAAGGATTGCTGGTGGGGAGGAAGTAATGCTGTATATTCTGAGACCTCATTCTCCAGCAGAGATACGATATTTCAAAATTGAAAATGTACAAAGACAGTAACAACAATACCATGGATGATAAGAGTATGTTACCAAGTCAGTTCTTGGATATGGCAGCCTCATAGATAATTAAAGGGCTTCACGAATACATATACTTCATATATCTTTATAGGCTCTCCTTTCGCCCTTGCCATTATCACGAGCTCATCTTATAAGCACAAGGGAGAGAGCCTTCTCCTCTGTGGCCCCCCGATTCTGGAACTCATTGCCCAGAGAGATTAGGAAGGCCCCCACCTTAGAAACTTTCAAGAGAGATCTCAAAACTTGGCTTTTCCGATTCGCTTTTGGAGAGTATCCATACTATCACACACAGTTGCTCCCCCTCAACTTTTTTTTTGTCCCCAGAGTATATTTCCCCACCTGTATGAAGGTCTACTTTTAGGACCCCGTTCCTTTATGAGTTTCTCCCTCACAAACAATCTGCTCCATCCCTATCTCATCCTGATTTGTAGTATTTGTAGTATTTTAGTATTTTTTCTTGCACATGTAGCCCACTCATTGTTATTTTATTGTATATGATTTTGTTTTATCATTTTTTGGACTTATGTGTTGTATGTATTTTACTGTGTTGTTATTGTGTTTTGGTTTTATTTTATTGTAATATGCTGTTGGGCTTGGCCTCATGTAAGCCGCCCCGAGTCCCCATTGGGGAGATGGTGGCGGGGTATTAAATAAAGATTATTATTATTATTATTATTATTATTATTATTATTATTATTAACGTGGACTCAGCCATTCAAGCTGCTGCAAGCAGCTTAGTAGCTGGCGCTTAGTAGCTGACATTAAACACTGAATGCATGAATAAGATGAGAGTTAAGTGAGACAAAATGTATCATGCCGACCTATTTGCATGGAATGTTATCCTCTTCATAGGTTTGTGAGGCAAGAGATTTTGGATATAGTAAACTTCACACAACAAGGCATAACAATTGCTGCTGGTTATGTCACCTTTGTGTTCATGTTTACATTATAAAAGTGAGACAAGATACATAAAAGTTTGAAATTCCCCAATTTTCTTTCCTTGATTTGAAAATCCCAGTGCAGGGGAAGTTGCAGTGATAGTAGCTTTTCCTGTCTCAGCTAAATATTGAAAGGCAGGGAGCAAGAAACAAAAAAAAAATGAGGGTGGGGGGAAGGATGATGGGATGGGGAAAAAAGTTTTCTCACCAATTTTTCCATTTTTTTCCTCCAAGGTCTTCCAATCTCTAGTCATAGTTCAACTTCACAGAAATAAAAGCAAGGAAATCTGGCCAGCACTTTCTCTTTCCTACCTTAGGGGAAGAGGCAAAATGTGGCCGTATAGCTCCTTGGCCTTGAACTGTTAGAAATCAGAACTTTTACAATGTTTACTTGTACCTGGATATATTTGACCTGCTGATTCCGAAAATGGCTCCAGTTTCCCCCTACTAACTCTAGTTATTAATATACAGAACATATGACATATACCAGTCGCCATCTGTTCACCCATAAAGAATCATGATAACCATATCTAAGAGACTAGAGCTGATGTGGTCTATCCAGTGCAGTTTTGTGAATCAGCACCCCAAATAACAGCAGGAATAACCTCAATACCAAAACACCCCCCAAAAATTTGTGTTGAGCTGCGTTATTTATTATTATAACAAATTCATGTATATTGCTTTCTTGCCATAATAATTGCTAGTAATTGCTTCGTTGCTAACAATGGTTCTTCCATGTTTAGTATTGCTCATTATACAGTTGGCCCTCTGAACCTTGTCTCCAGATCCGTAATTTTAGCCTCTGTGGACTGTCATACCTCATATTACTAAATGTCGACTTCAAGAGCATGGAGCTGCTGAAAAGTGTGTGTTTACATCACCATCATTTAACAATATGGGGCTTGATCTTCCATATTTAAGGGTCCTGGAACAGAACGCCCACTGTCAACACCCACTGTAATTATGTGGTGAACCATTATAAACTAGACTTTTAAAAAATCCTTCTGAGGGTGACATTGTTAGATAAACTTAAAGAGGCCATAAAGGAATTACTTGTACAAGCTAGTCAATCTGTGTTTGTTTCTTTTAACAGGTGCTAAAGGAATATTTAGACAATGTCCAACTGGGTCAGATCCTGGAACGCGAAGGAGGCTGGGATAGTGTTCAGGATTGGATGGACGTTCTCAGTGGAGGGGAAAAACAGAGAATGGCAGTATGTGTTTCCCTTTTCATGCACCTCTTTTAGGATATCTTAAGTAAAGTTGCTGTCCAATATTCAATAAGAGAAAACTGTTTTAAAATGCTAGTCCTGAGAATAATTTAAAAAATAGAAAGCTATTTCCTTGCAACCTTTTAAAGTAATGATAAACTGTTGTATTTTTGGGTGAGAATATTTGTCTCTTTTGCCCTATCCTTAATCTGGTAACAACTTTTATAGTCACAGGAACTGAACCTTTTACATGCGGATTATATGCTCTAATGATGAGCTACAGTTTTTCTCATAAGTCTGTATAGTGGCATTGGATTGTTTTCAATTGGAAAGCAAAATTAGAGGAGAGGAAGAGAGGGAAAACTTATGTGCACAAAGTTAGGAATGAGGAACTTGAGTCCCACCAGCTATTCCTAGATTTTCCTTTCCTTCAGCCTGGCCACTCATGAGAAGTGATGGGAGTAGTAAAGAACCAGAGTGGTGTCATGGTTTTGAGCATTGGACCAGAACTCTGGAAACTAGGATTTGATTTCCTGCTCAGCCATGGAAAACCACTGGGTGACTTTGGGCAAATTACTGGGTGACCTTGAGCCCCAGAAAACCCTGTGATACACTTAGCTTGTGGTCGCCATAAGTTGGAAACAACTTGAAGATACACAGCAGCAAGTAAATTACGACAATCTGGACAGGCAGCATTTATCTATTTACACACTAAACATGAGTACCACTCCATTTTTACTAGAACTTTCAAACACTGATGCTTCGTTTAAAACATAAAGATTATAGGATAAACAGATTGCACACTGGCAGCATGAGATGCAGAGCTAACCTTAAGAAATAGGGTTACAAATTGGATGACATGGTGTGGAGAAGACCAAACCACACTTACTACAATGCAGTCTGAGCCCTGCCACGTGCACAATGGAGGACCTTCTTACAGTGACACCAGAGGCACTCCAAGTGGCCAGTTTCTGGTCAAAGGACATTTAGTATAATGCCAAGTTTTAAAATTTGTTTGGTTTTTCTGACATGATAAATAAATAATAGGATAAATTCAGATTTGTGTAACAGTACTATCCTGTCTGTATACATCCCCTCTTGTGCAATCATTTGAATTTCCATATGTGCAAAAGCTAATTTCAGCCTAATATTCTAAAATGATATAGATTGCAAAATTGTCACAGTGTTTAACATGTTGTTTAGCATTTACTTTATCTTTGCAGATGGCCAGACTGTTTTACCACAAACCCCAGTTTGCCATTTTGGATGAATGTACTAGTGCCGTTAGTGTTGATGTAGAAGGCTATATCTACAGCCACTGTCGGAAAGTATGTGCAACTATTTTACATTGTCTTAAGTTAAAATTTTGAAAGCAAAATCAAGGAGTAGTGGTACATCTACATTATTATGTAGATATAACAAAGTGGATACAAAACAATTGCTCCTCTTCATCTTTTATGTTGGATGTGTATCTAGTTTTTTACTTCCACTCACAAAAACTCTTCTGTCTGGAAGATAGATCTGTGAGTAGAAATGGGGAGATCGGTTTGCTGGACACCTTCATGCTATCATCTCCTGTGGGCATGTCCAAAAAGCCCTTCCCCATCTGAAGGTTGGAGGGCCTTGTGGGGAAATGAAATGAGTGTAACATGGAGGCTGCAACTGAAAAGATGATTTTGTGAAAATCACTTCTCCTGGGACTTTTTGGCTCTAAATCAGGCATTGGCAAATGTCGGCTTTTCAGGTGTTTTGGACTTCAACTTCCATAATTCCTAATAACCGGTAGGCTGTTAGGAATGGTGGGAGTTGAAGTCCAAAACACCTGGAGGGCCAAAGTTTGTCCATGCTTGCTCTAAATCGAACTGTAACTGAGGTAGGAAGTGTGAAGTGGTCAATATGTAGGTTTGGCGACCAGAAGTAGGGTTAACACATTCCTTCCTCATGGATTCTGTAGTGTGCCAGTTGCATGCCACCATGAGCTACTGTTAGCTATAAAGGGAGATGCTAAAAAGATACCACACTATAGTCTGAAAATCAATCCTGAGGCAAAAGGCCGCTTCATATGCCTGGTTTTAGAAGAAGCTAAACCTTGAGAGATACAGTCCTTGATTTCCCACGTGATTTCCCCAGATAATAATAACAACAGCAACAACAACTTTATTTTTAATCCCCGCCACCATCTCCCCGAAGGGACTCAGGGCGGCTTACAAGGGGACAAGCCTTGTAAGCCGCCCCTTGGATGGCATCTTTCATTTTGGTAAGACTTGGTGGAAGGTTAACATCAGAAAGCTTAATCAAGTGTTCTCTCACTTTAGGTTGGTATCACTCTCTTCACGGTATCTCACAGAAAATCCCTTTGGAAACACCATGATGTAAGATTTATTCCATTTCAATATTTCATGCATACCTCTGTCATTCAGAAGCTTTTGCTTCCTACAATGAAATGTAGCTTAATTGCAGTATTTGCATATATAGAAGATTCCTGCAAACTGGAACAGTCGGGTTATTTAATTGTTTTATAATAAGTAAAGAGAGGTGAAGGTGAAGTATTATATTAAGCATATGAACTACAGCTTGACAATTATAACAAATCAAGAAATAAAGTGTGCCTCTTGGGGAGAGTACTGTTTTTGGAGACTTTCACTCACCTCAAAATTCCCTGGGTTATCCTTTTTCTGTGTGACTTATATTTTCTAGAAACCTTGAGGTGTGGAAATTCACTTTTTCAATACAGTATATGGTCCCAGTCCATGTGGCCCCCAGCATGTTGTAGAAGCAGATTATTAGCCTTAGTTTCATCATAGCTGCCCACCCTTTCTTAATTCTAACGGATTTATAAATTATCAACAACATTTTGAACTAAGGATAGAAACAAATGTTTCATTGCTTTGTTGAGAAAATTGTGTTCTTCCTACAAATGATCCCTGTTCATACCCTAGCCTCAACATTCTTCATTATTTAGAACAGTGCTTCTCAATCTGTGGTTCCTCAGATGTTTTGGCCTTCAACTCCCAGAAATCCTAACAGCTAGTAAACTGGCTGGTATTTCTGGGAGTTGTAGGCCAAAACACTTGGAGACTCACAGGTTGAGAACCACTGATTTAGAAAGTCAGAACACTGTTTAAGAACATCCATTTGTTGATACATATGTCAATGTATTTATCCAGTTCTCATAACTTTGGGATATCGTTACCTACATCATAGAAAATAATTTAAATCTGTAACCCCTATTGAAGAATTAGTCTTTGGTCTCCAGTGGACCAACCCAGTCAGCTTTGAATCATGAGTTTTTGATTTGCATTCTGTTGCCACTGTATGTTGATCTTTGTACCCTGTGTTTTAGTGTATGCTTTTAAAATGGCATGATTTAATATATGGATTGCATGTATTTTATCTTTTTACTTATTTGTACTCCTCCTGAAGCCATTAGGAAAGGTGGATAACAAATACAAGTATTAATATTAGTATTACCACCACCACTTAGTAATACTACTAAGCTAAAATGAAAATCCCAAGAGAAAGGTAAAGGTTTCCCCTTGACGTTAAGTCTAGTGAGAGAAAAGTAGGGTTCAAATAAATATCATTTTACAGATTTGAACTGCTGTTCATTATATTGGAAAGTACTCCAAAATTTCATACCTCACTTTAATTTTGTGACAAATTCAGAATTGTTTTAACTATGTCCCCTGCATTTTTTGGTCATAAAAAGATTACTGCATAGCTGGAATTATGTGGACTATACTAGTCCTTCAGCACCCTGTCAGTACCACCAGATGGTGCTCTAACCAATTCAATGCTTTACTGTATTTTTAAAAGAAATAGTTGGTGTGTATTCTTGTGTAGAAATTCCTCATTAAGTCAATGATTGCCTTTTAAAATCCTCACTCATTAATATGTGCTGAATATGGGCATATATTGTAATCATCTTAGCTTACTTATAATGTATTTTTCTTTCTTCTCAGTTTTATCTTCACATGGATGGAAGAGGAAATTACGAATTCAAGAAAATCACTGAAGACACAGTTGAATTTGGTTCTTAAACACCCCCACCAATCTACAGCTTCTCCCAGTAACTGATAACAGCACAGGGCATAGAAAGACAGAGTGCACTGTAATGTAACAAAGCTACTTGACTTACTCTTTAACTCAGTTACTAGGGGTAGGGTAATAGGACGTCTGAAAGATGCTCTCTGTGCATTTACATTTATGTAGGAAATTACTAATTTGTGTATATGTTGGTTTAATTATTACTGTGTACTAAGAATGTCCTTATTTTTGTGGTTTTTAAAAAGAAAACCTGCCTGAATTAAATTGGGCTTAAATCACTATAAAGTTGATTCATCCTGGGATGTAAACATTCTGGAGTCAATTCATTTGACTTCGTGATGTCTTGCACTTCCTCTGGGGAAGAACACGTATTAATGTTAGGACTGCTACCTCTTCTGGGCCAAGCACAGCAGGCTTGATTATCTGTTTCACATCCTGGTGTGGCAACTGTGATCAATATCATTATTCTTTTCTGGGTGATTTTAGTCTCTTTCGCTGCAGAATTGCACAAGGCAGTGAGTATTTTCCTTCTTTCAAAGTTGTGGTAAGACTGCCTAAAACTGGACTGGTTTTAGGGAAGGGGAGAGCTCCAAGCCTAACTACAAAAGAGATGAATTCCTACCATTAAACATCTGTTCTCTTTTCTATAGCCTTCCACTGTTTTTTCAGTTCAATTCTTCCATTCCGCCCATCAAGAACCATAAAAACTCTTTAAAAAGCAAAGGGGTCTGCACTTCAAAATAGAGAAGATGGACTTTAGGAGGGGTCTGCCCTGTTTGAAACTGATTATGTACATTCTAAATAAAATGCCATGGGCAACTACTATATAGGAATTCTGATTTCAAAACCAAAAATCAGATCTGATTTTTTTGGTACTTAAGTTATTTTATTTATCTCCTAATAAAAATTGCTCCATTCTGATAAGCACCAACCCCAGAAGATATTTGCAACCTTATACCTGTTGGCAATGACCAAATGGAGCAAGATAGTTTTAAAAGTATTGATTTTCAAGTATACGATCTGAAGAAAGGCTTCTCGGCCTTTTGGCTAAGATCAAGTGTAGTAGATTTTCAAGTAGAAGCAGATATAACCACCCCAGTGATGATATGGGATCATTGCCAAATTAGTATCCCAGATGGGACTCGGGGGAGCAACTGTTGGTTAACCTGGACTAAGCTGCCATAATAATTCTTAAAAGCACTTCAGCCCAACAAAGGCCTGGGCACATGATTTCGTCCCTATACTATAAAAATGCACTACATGAAGGCATGTATTACATATGCAAATAAATGTGGTCTGTCTTTTTTTTCTTTTGCTGCAAAATTGGTTTAAATTGTGAGTTATTACTCAGTCCTGGATTGTCTCACTTTAGACAGGACTCTTATAAAATCTACAAATAACTAATTCTGTTCATGAACTGCTCACAAGATAATAATTATGTAAAGTGTTTTTATAAATGGCATGAAATTTTTAGACGTAATCAACAGAGAGCTATAAGAGGATACATTAACAGTAACACTAATGTTGGAGTTTTTGTCACTTCACATTTTTCATATTTAATATGGCAATCAGGTATTTTTCTGTACCTGTTTTTTAAGCAATTTTAAAAATTGATTCTTGAGATTGCTTGTGCCAGCCAACATATGCTACAGTGGATTAATACACCAGGACCATATAACGAAAGCAGATTGTAATCAGCTGTCTCACAGAGATTGGCTGGCATAGTACATATAGATGAGTCAATGAACTGATTTTAGAATTAGTTGCTGCTCTGATGTAAAAAAAAGGTTTCTGTGCTTCCCAGAAACATCTCTTTTCCTATTTAATCCTTTTCTTTTAAATTAACTCTTCTGTAGTGGCTGTTCTAGAGAGACTGGCTTTCTCGGACACAAAGTGTTTTTAAGAAACTGCTATAATTTTTTTAGAGTGGAAAGTGCTGCTTTTTAAATATTTGTATTCTTTTTCAGAAGAGTCTGCACTAAAATTGAGTAGTAGTAGACTTGAAGTTTTTTAAAGAACGTATTTTTGTCACTAACTGGAATGCACTTCTTATTTATATAGCATCTTTTGCAGAAAGCATTGCAGTTCATGACTGGTTTATAAGAACGACAGTAGAAACTGTGTTAACTTTGCCTGTCGAGTAGCACAGATTAACTTCTGTAGCCAATGGAACTAGTCTGTTGAATACAGCCGTGGATAAGAAGCCAAGAGATATCCAGAAAATGCCTGTCCTTGATAATATCCCATGTTCCCATAGCCATATTTCCACCAATAGTGAATCAAAAACACCTTCCCAGAAGGCATGTTCGAAGGCCACATTACATGGAGCAGTATTCAAGGGAAGTGGCATTTTAAGATTACGTTTTTTCCTAGCTGTCTTGAAAAATGATCCAGAAACATAGTTTAGCTCTTAATTTGTGCTATGATCTTGTATGCTGATTGCTACTTGTATGATTGCTTAAAGCTGGAAGTTTTGGCATGATGGGAAAATCAGCAAGAGTGATTCATATTCCCATGTTGCATACAGAATTTTGGCCTGGTGGTATTTGCAACCTCCAGGGATCATAGATAGCTCCCATTTCAAAGGGAATGGATTGTTTGTACTATAGACAATAATACTTTGCTGCTTGTAAGGCACTTTGGGAGGAAAGGCGCTATATAAATGTAAATTTTGTCTATATAAGTGCCTCTGGAATAATAAATCTGAGATAAACCATCTAGCTTTTTAAAATTAGTGTCAAGGGTTTACAAAACCCTACAGATAGTTGCCATATCAATTAGGACTGGTCTGTTGTTCATATTTTAAAAGGCTACCTTCAGGTAAAAAGACAAACTGACTTATTTTCATGTAACTAAAGAAGTAGAGTGAATCATTTTTAATTACCTATGAATTATACATTAAGCACAAAATTAAACATTTTTACTCATCTGATTTGCAATGGAGTTCAGTACCTCTTTGTGTGCGTCTGTGTGTGTTCTTGTAATTAAGTGTTTTTCATATATTTATTTTGAAACTCACGATGGAACCCTAAGCAAAACAAGGATCTTCTCTAAAAAGGATAGTTTTTGTTGCCAAAAAGTGTTTCAACCAAATGCCTACTCTATATCTACTTTTTCTTTCAGCCAGATTTTGACTTACTATACAGTCCTCAGACTGAAAGAAAAAGTAGATTTTTATGCATCTATCTATCTATCATCTATCTATATCTATCTATCTATCTATCTATCTATCTATCTATCTATCTATCTATCTATCTATCTATCTTATGGTTATGCTGGGTTTTTTTTTTACTTTGTATGTTTTGTGATATTACCTGGGAACCGCTCTGAGTCCCCTTGGGGAGATGGAGCGGTATATAAATAAAGTTTTATTTATTATTATTATTAGATTTGGAGTAGGAACTGGATTAAAGGCATTACATTTGCACAGGTGCAACTATTAACTGTTTCCACAATGAGTAATGTGGCTAAAATAGCCTATTTTTGGATTGCCCAGAACAATTATGTTGAAGGGGATTGGCAGTAGGCTTGTGCAATTCGGCTGGAGGGTGATCCATTTATGGTATTGGTGTGCCCAGATCCATTTTCAGGAGTCTCCCGAAAATTGGCTAATAGAAAAATCTGTTTTTGGCTAGGCAGCCGAAAGATCGGGGAAGATCCAGCCAATTGGTGGCAATGGGGAACTTACAAGGCTCCCCTTGGGTTTGAGGAATGGGGTTAAAGAAGCACCCTTCCTGGGCTCCTTTTCTTTCTTCCTTTTAAGGGATCCTGGGTTTGAGGAATGGGGTTAAGGAAACATGCACTGTGTGCTCCCAAATAGAAGGGAAGAAGCCATGCCTGGCAGCCACGTGGGCTGTTTTGGGTGAAAAGACATGGCAGCTTAGCCCATCTGGAGAATCCAAACAAGCCAAAAGAAAATGGCTGAAACGGATCCGTGCACAAGTCTAATTGGCAGCTGCAGATGTAAGATGTTTTTTCTCTGTGGAAGGCCACACCAAATAATTTACTGCCATCTGTAATAAAATTACATCATAAAATTACAGATTTCTGGTGGTTACTTTTTGCTTCTGCTCCTAGCAGCTTTCAAGAACTGGAGGTGACAGGAGCCCAAAACCAACAGATATCCAAAATTTTAAATATGTTATGGTCTAGGGGAATCTGAAGAAAGGTAGCAGAGTACAAAGAAATCTAGGGACAGAAGTGGGGGGCATATGACTCCTATCTCTGAATTCCTGAGAAGCAAAGGCTGACATTATTTTCCTCTATTTTCTATGACCCATGTTTTCTGACATGTTTTCTGACAATTGTACATTCATTACTGGAAAAGTAAGCAACTCCAAATACCACAGATGAATTCTTTGCTACACTGGCAAGCAAAGTGATGCTGATGTACCTGGCATATTTTTGGAAAGATTAACCAGATTGTTCTTCGGTTGTGCAAACTTTTCTACAAACTTGTAGAGTTATGTATTCGGGACAGTGTATCATGACTTTATAGCTCCTCTTTTCTCCTCTTGTCATCATAATAGGGAGTAGAAATTGGGAGTTGGAGCTTTATAGTAGGACTGTGAACTATACAGTGAAAACACTGGTAAATCCATATGGGCCCCATAGTCAGAATATCTTGATAAAAATAGATGGTAGATACTTTCAGATTCCACAATGACACAATATATAATATTTGGGACCTGATTACTGCCATTAAGTTATGCTGTCAGTTATGGATGGTAGCTGCTTTCACAAGTCCTTTTAAATAAGAATATGCTGGTGATTCCCTCATTGAAGTGTGTGTGTGTGTGTGTGTTTTTGCAGCATTCCTTTTTCATTTATAAAGTACTTGCACTAATTAATAATCATCCCTGTGGATGTAAACAAATGTCCAAACATTAAGAAGGGACTAATAGAGGAAAAATAAAGGTTAAAAGGTAAAAGTTGTCCCCTGACATTAAGTCCAGTCGTGGGGTGTGGTGCTCATCTCCATTTCTAAGCCAAAGAGCCAATGTTGTCCGTAGACACCTCCAAGGTCATGTGGCTGGCATGACTTCACGGAGCACCGTTACCTTCCCACCGGAGTGGTACCTATTGATTTACGCACAGTTGCATGTTTTCGAACTGCTAGGTTGGCAGAAGCTGGGGCTGACAGCGGAAGCTCACACCGCTCCCCAGATCCGAACCTGCGACCTTTCAGTCAACCAGTTCAGCAGCTCAGCGCTTTAACCCACTGCGCTGAGCTGCTGAAAATAATTGAAAGCCAAAATCACATACATACAGAAGTCCAATGACTAGTCAATCTAATTTCCCTTTCGAGTGGGCCTACTTTCGTTAGCATGTCACCAGAAAACCAGATATATATGTTTTTAATAAGCTAGGAAAAGCTAGGTGTTTTATACCCTCTTACAGTTCTGAGTTTGATTGGAAAGTCAGATTAAGGTCTAAACCTAGTGTTAAGTGTTTTATTTCAAATTGTACATTCATTCTTTTTAGATTTGCTGCTGATATTCCCCTTCTCCAAGAGCTGGTGCTAAAATAGTAAAACATGGGGGCGGTGAAGCATCCTGAGAAAGTGCAGGAAGAAGAGTTCTGCATGAGAGAGATGCCAGCGTGATGACACAGTGGTTTGCCTTTTAAACAAAGATGTCTTGTTTAAAGCATTCAAGAGAACCAGGGAACTTGTTTATAAAGGGAATTTAATAGGACATTTTTTGCCTCCCCAAATACCAAACACAGCGTGCAAATGAAAGGGGGATAATCTTTGTTAATGATTCCAAGAATGTTAATATACCCTTCTTTATTCTTGTAAAAGCTTATCAGATTGTAAAAGAAAGCCTCCATTCCCAAAATCTAAATTCTAGAAGGAGGGTCAGGAAGGGCTTGGGAGATGCTGAGAAACCCTGCCAGAGCAATGTTTCAGGCAGGTTGTGGCTGCAATCAAAGGATAATCCTGTTTACTTGGAAAGCCTGATATATTGCCTTTATTTAGATGCCTTTCAAGACATTGCACATCATAAAGAACACAAAAATTCAAATGGTATTGGAAGAGACGTGATATACAGTTATCTTGCTGAAGCTAAGTAGGTCTAGGCCTGGTCAGAATTTGTGTGTAGACCCATTAAACCATTAAATCATTGGCAGGTCCTGGGTCTCCAACTCTGGTTAAAGCCTGCTTTGTCCCATGTCTAGTCAAAATGCGCCTCTCCCGTTTTAATCCCTCCTGTGGAATTTATTCCCTGGTGAAATTAGATTATCCCTTAGAAAAACGTGGATGTGGGACCAGGCCTTCGGGTAATCTTGCTGAAAATGACAGTGACAATGATGACAATTGCTATGGAAATGCTTGATGGAGTCTCTTAACTATGGAATTCGGCTCAGATAAGGCCACTAGGCTGTTATTGAAACAGAAACAGATTTTAATAAATTAATGCGATTTAATGTTTTAAATGTATGTAATTATTGGATTTTATTATGTATTTTATTATGTGTACATTGGAGGTATCAAATTGCTGCCGGCTTGAAACCACCCTGAGTCTCCCCCCAGGGGTTGAGAGGGGCGGGGTACAAATATCTGAAATAAATAAACAAATAAACAAATAATAAATGATGCACTAGGAAAAACAATAGCCAGAACCTGTTTAGCATAACCAGATAACATCCTCTGAAGGAAGATGTAACTTTAAATTCTTATAAATTGCATTGCACTCTCTTTTGAACACTCAAGCTCAGTTTTACAAGGCTCCCAATGCCATCCAGGCAAGCCATATCAAGTCCATCTCTTCCCTTCTTTGTAATCTGGAAATATCTCATTTTGGAACAATTAATAGGAGCCTCCGGTGGCGCAATGGGTTAAACCCTTGTGCCGGCAGGATTGCGGACTGATAGCTCAGCAGTTCGAATCTGGGGAGAGCGGGTTGAGCTTCCTTTGTCAGCTCCAGCTTCCCATGCAGGGACATGAGAGAAGACCTCCACAAGGATGGTAAAACATCAAGCATCCAGTTATCCCCTGAGCAATGTCCTTACAGGCGGCTAATTCTCTCACGGCAGAAGCGACTTGCAGTTTCTCAAGTCACTCCTGACACCAAAAAAGGAGCAATTAATGAGATGAAATTTCTTCCACTTTAATCTTTTCTCTCCAGCTCTTCGATATATTTCCCAATCAGATCCGTATTTGCACACTCTACATCTGGACATCCTTTGTAAAGCATCTTGTAAACAGATACAAGTATAATTTTATTTTTGTAATCATAGTCATTCTTGTCCCCACCTTTTATAAACATTTTCAACTGCTGAAGGGAATCAGCGTTGATGTAAATAAAGGAAGAGATAGGACTTTGCTCTTTTTTAAAGGCCAGATCAGAAAAGGTCTCATTCTTGGTTAATTAAACCTCATCTTGATTAATGACAAACCATAGAGAAGGAACTGTGATTATTGGATGCTTTGTATATATTTATAAGGGCACAAATAGTCCTTCAATAAATGTGAAGCTGGACGTAGGCTGATAGAATTTTGCTAGGAAAACTCACTGTGTATAATTAACACTCTCTTCCAGCAACCTTTATACATGGACTTCACCAGATGGTCAACGCCGAAATCAGATTGACTACATCCTTTGCAGCCAAAGGTGGCGGACATCCATCCAGTCAGTGAAAACAAGACCTGAGGCTGACTGTAGTTCAGATCACAAACTTCTTATTGCACAATTTAGAATCAAACTAAAGAGACTAGTTGGGTATGATCTCACTAAGATCCTTAGCAAATACGCAGTGAAAGTGAAGAATAAATTTAAGGGACTAGATTTAATAAATAGAGTACCAGAAGAATATGTTCAGAAGTCCACAACATTGTTCAGGAGGTGGCAACAAAGTTTGTCCCAAATGAAAAATAAAACCAAGAAGGCAAAATGGTTGTCTTCCGAGACACTGGAAGTAGTCCAAGAA